GCCCTCCTCCTCCTCCGCCGCCGCCGCCGCGCCTGATCGCGCTGTGCTCGCCGCCTCAGGTTCCCGTCACCATCCTCACCGGTTTCCTCGGCAGCGGAAAGACGACGGTGAGAGGACATGGCAGAAGAGACCTCCTCCCTCGCCGCCACGCGATTTCCGCGTGCCACGCCCACCGCCACGCTGCGCCACGCCGTCCGCCACGCCCCGTCCGCTCACACGCCGCACGCTGCGGAGAGCGGAGAGCGTCCCGTCCCGGCGCGACGCCGCGCCGACCCGTGTCCGCAGCTTCTCAACCACATCCTCGAGGACCCGAACCACGGGCTGCGGTTCGCGATCATCGAGAACGAGTTTGGCGACGTCGGCGTCGACGAGCGCATCCTCTCGGAAAAGGCGGACGAGGAGGTCATCGAGGTGATGAACGGTTGCATCTGCTGCACGGTGCAGCGGAGAACCTCTTCTCTCTCACACACACACACGCACACACACAAACCTCTCGCCGCAGCTCTCACCTCCTCAAGCTCTCTCTCACCGCCCCACACCGCTCTCTCCCCACTCACACACGCACACACACACACACGCACGCACACACACGCACACACGCGCGCACACACACACCACACACCTCTGATCCTTCTCGGAACCTTCTCGGAACCTTCTGCACTGCAGGTGCGGGGAGACCTCGTCGTGGCGCTCAAGAATCTCTACTCCAAGATCTCGCAGTTCGACGCAGTCATCATCGAGACGACCGGCGAGATGCAGCCGAGATGCAGCCGAGATGCAGCCGAGATGCAGCCGAGATGCAGCCGAGATGCAGCCGAGTTTTAGCGCAGATCAGGCCGAGATCTCGCCGAGTACAGCTGAGATGCAGCCGAGATGTAGACGCAGTGCGCCGCAGATCTCTTCTCCACACGTGGCCAGCTGTCGTTTCTCGCCGACCCTTCCCGACTCTCCAGTCCCAATGAATGGGAAACCACGACAGGGCGTACTTTTCCTCTGACTAGGCCTCGCCGACCCCGCGCCGGTGGCGCAAACCTTCTTCGTGGACGACGACATCCAGGCAAAGTGATATATTATAAATAAAACAACGATTATAAAATTAATCAGAGGCACATAATTGACCTAGGCAAAGTTCTCTCTGGACGCGATCATCACGGCGCTGCGGCTCGACGCCCCTCCTCCTGTGAGCAAGTGGCAGCAGCGCGATGCCTCCCTCCCTGACGATGATAGGTCTGCGTTCGAACGCACCTCCTCCTCCACGCCATTCCGAGTCCACTCGACTCCATAACGACGGCTCATACTCCTAGGTCTGCGACTCAAAGCACATCCTCGCGCGCATCGACGATGAGAAGCCAGAGGGCGTCGAGAACGAGGCGGCAGAGCAGGCGGCTGCTAGCGGGAGTAGGGGTGGGACTAGCACTCGTCTTCCGCTCCTCTCCCCGTGGAGGGCGTCGAGAAGGAGGCGGCGGAGCAGGCGGCACGTCCACGACACGCCCACGACACGTCCCCGACACGCCCACGACACGTCCACGACACGTCCACGACACGTCCACGACACGTCCACGACACGTCCACGCGACACGCCCACGACACGTCCACGACGCGTGCTCACGACCACGACACGTCCACGACACGTCCACGCCACGTCCACGACACGTCCACGACGCGTGCTCACGACCACGACACGCCCACGACACGTCCACGACACGTCCACGACACGTCCCCGACACGCCCACGACACGTCCACGACGCGTGCTCACGACCACGACACGACCACGACACGTCCACGACACGTCCCCGACACGCCCACGACACGTCCACGACACGCCCACGACACGTCCACGACGCGTGCTCACGACCACGACACGTCCACGACACGCCCACGACACGCCTACGACACGTCCCCGACGTGTGCTCACGGCGCGACACGTCCACGCCACGTCCACGACGCGTGCTCACGGCGCGACACGTCCACGACACGTCCACGCCACCGCCTCCTCCCGCCGTGCCCGCAGGTCGCCTTTGCGGACCGGATCCTGCTCAACAAGACCGACCTCGTCCCCGACCCTAGAAGCGGAAAACGTGTTCTTGTCTCTCCCCATATCTCCCCATATCTCGTGCCTAGAAGCGGAATACGCCTTCTTGTCTCTCCCCATATCTCCCCATATCTCGTGCCTAGAAGCAGAATACGCCTTCTTGTCTCTCCCCATATCTCCCCATATCTCCCCATATCTCGTGCCCAGAAGCAGAATACGGATTCCTGTCTCCCAACCAGCGCCCGAGAGGGCCACGTGTTCAGCTGTACTCCTGCCCTCCTCTCCGTTGTACTCACGCGGTGCCATGAAGACGCTGCACAATACTGTACTCCCGCCCTCACGTCGGCGTCTTCCCCCACGCAGGTCCCCGAGGCCGAGCTGCCCGCGATCGAGGAGCGGCTCCGCAAGCTCAACCCGAGCGCCACCATCTTTCGGTGCGAGAAGGGGCAGGTCGACACCCCCCCCCCCCCCCCCCTCCGCCTCCGCCCACCCACGCGCACTGGGCCTTGCACTTTGAATGCCGTGCCAGCTCCTGTCGTCTAGACGTGGAGTCGCGAGGGAGCAGCCTGGCCCTTGCCCCACCACCTCGTGTGTGTGGAGAAGTGTGCCTCACCTTACCTTACCTTACCTTACCTCAGGTCGACCCCAAGGACCTCATCGGCATCTCCTCCTTCGACCTGCGCAAGACGCTCGACATGGACCCCGAGTTCCTCAACACCGAGGGCGAGACCTAGGGAGATATTGGGAGAGATTGGGAGAGATTGGGAGATATCGGGAGATGGACCCCGAGTTCCTCAACACCGAGGGCGAGACCTAGGGAGATATTGGGAGAGATTGGGAGATATCGGGAGATGGACCCCGAGTTCCTCAACACCGAGGGCGAGACCTAGGGAGAGATTGGGAGAGATCGGGAGATATCGGGAGATGGACCGGGCGAGACCCGGCCGTTCTTCTTTTCAGCCACCACCGCTCTTGTCATTTCTTATCGCCACTCCTGTCGTTGTCATCTAGGCGAGCACGAGCACGCGGTGATTGTGGTCCTGTCGTTCTTTCTTCTCACCGCCATTCTTTCTGATGGCGCTCTAGGCGAGCACGAGCACGACAACAGAGACTTCCTAGACACTTCCTAGACACTTCCTAGACAGTTCTAGGCGAGCACGAGCACGACAACAGACACTTCCTACACACTTCCTAGACACTTCCTAGACACTTCTAGGCGAGCACGAGCACGACAACAGACACTTCCTAGACAATTCCTAGACACTTCCTAGACAGTTCTAGGCGAGCACGAGCACGACAACAGACACTTCCTAGACACTTCCTAGACACTTCCTAGACACTTCTAGGCGAGCACGAGCACGACAACAGCGTCTCCTCCACGAGCGCGAAGTTCGAGGGCTTCCTCAACGTCAAGAAGCTGAACATGTGGATCTCGGACATCATCCAGGAGAGTCTTATTATCATTATTACTAATTATTATTACTAATTATTATTGAGACGCTAAACATGTGGATCTCGGACATCCTCCAGGAGATGGGCGCGAACCTGTTCCGCTACAAGGGCGTGCTGTCCGTGGCGGGCATGGACGAGAAGTTTGTCTTCCAGGGCGTCGGCATGCTCTTCTCGGGCGGTTTCATCAACGCAAAGTGAGCTGGACGCTGGACGCCCCTCGGCTCCACCTCGGCTCCACCTCGGCTCCACTTCGGCTGCATCTCGGCGAATCTCGGCGAATCTCGGCGAATCTCGGCCGATCATGCGCCCGCGAGCAGGTGGGGCCCGAACGAGACGCGCGAGAACCGCTTCGTCTTCATCGGAAAGGACCTGGACAAGGAGGGGCTGCTCAAGGGCCGAGATTAGCCGAGATTAGCCGAGATTGGCCGAGATTAGCCGAAGACCTGGACAAGGAGGGGTGCTCAAGGGCGCACCGCGAGACGACCCATATCTCCCCTATCTCCCCCTATCTCCCCCTTATCTCCCAGCGGACCTCCTTGCCTCGAGGAGGAGCGCTGCTTGCTCCGAACAAAGAGACGTGGCGACGAGGGTGTGCTCTTTTTCTTTTCTAGGCTTCAAGGAGTGCCAGTGCTCCGAGCAGCTGCGCTTCAAGATTGGGGACAAGGTGCGCGCGCGGGTGGGGAAGGACATGGCCGAGGCGCGCTCTAGCCGAGACCAGCCGAGATTCGCCGAGGTTCGCCGAGGTTCGCCGAGGTTCGCCGAGAGAGATTTCGAGAGGTCTGAGACACTGTGGCCGCGGCGACTCCTCCGCCCCCCGCGCGCCGAGCTCGCGGGCCGTGAACGGCGTCTCTTCACGGCGGCGGCCGCGTGAGCAGGCGGACGGCTACTGCCCGGGCGTGGTGATCAAGACATGGGACCAGGGCAACGCGTACCGCATCCAGCTGCAGGACTCCGAGAAGTCGAGCGTCTGGGGGCCTTGTCATGAGTCTCATTCTCACTGGTGGGAGTGTTCATTGAATAGGACTCCAAGAAGACGAACGTCTGGGGGCCGATCGATGAGGACGACTTCGTCAAGGCGGCGTGAGCCCCCCCCCCCCCCCCTTCGGCCACCCGTTCGGAAGAACGCGTGCGAGATGAGCGCGCCCTCGCATGGGCATAGAGAGAGAGAGAGAGAGGGAGAGAGAGATACCAGCGGGTCTACTGGAAGTAGAGTATTGAGAGGAGCCTCTCAAACAAAAGTGAAGAGAAAGAAAGGAGCCAACCGCAAGCGCAACCGGAACCGCAATCCAATTGACGCGCCCAAAATGTTTTATTTATCCGCCCTTGTGGAGCACTTCGAGTGTGCAGTCGGCAGCCTCACATCCAGGGCCGGGGAGCTAAGAAGCGCACCCAGCGAGCCAGATGATGCATCGCGCCCCCCTTCCTTTTCTTTCCCCCGAAGGGTCCCCTCACAAACACAAAGTACATACACACATGTTCATGCACGCGGCGTGGGCAAAGTGGGTGTATCTGTGTGCCTCAGCTTACTAGATCTAAGAGAGAACACACCGGCGCGTGGCTATCGGTCTACTGCTCCGTCTTGACGCGCACCGCCGGAGGCGCTGGCGGGTCCGCGTCGTCGTCGTCGCTTCCCGAACCGCCCAACTCGACCGCGTTGCTAGGGTCGGCCGCCTCATCCTCCGAGTCGGCAATCTCGATCGTCTCCTCGGCGTCGCCCGTCAGGTCCTCGTCCTGCTTAGCCTCCGCTCCCGTTGCCTCTGCAGCCGCCTCTACCACCTCCTCTGCCGCTGCAGCCGCCTCACATGACCGTCCCACCATGGCCTTCTCTCACAGCGGCCCCTCCCCAGCTGTGCAGCATGGGCGGCGGCAGAGGAGGCGGCGGAGCGCGTCATCCGGGCTCCTGAGTCGATGATCGCGCCGCAGTCCCAACAAAATTGCGCCAGGCAGCCAGCGACCCTGCAGTGCCCCATGCCACAGTGAAGGATGTTTGATTGCAACCCACGGTTGATGATTACGCAGTGGTTGCAAATCGGGCAAGGCTTCTGCTCCTCCGTGATGGTGAATTTGCCGGGCGCAGCCATCTCACCTGTCAGGTTGACCGAGACCGCGATGGCCGCACTCCGAGTCGTGGCACTTGTACTTACCATTCGGATCGTACCAGTCGGCCCGGCCGAGGTGGTAGCAGTGATAGTCGGGCCGCATCTTCTCATGAGAGAGGATGGCGTGCGTCCAGCGGCACGAGAGCGTGTTGCCGGCGAGGGGCGGGCAGTAACCGATCTTGAACTTTGGTACCTGTGCCATGTACTCGTAGCAGCTCTTGAAGCTGTCGAATTGCGAGAAATTGCCAACGCAACGCTCCTGGATTAGGTGGCACAGCTCTTCAGCCTCCCCGAACCCATCCACCATGTTGGAGGGCTTGCCGGAGGCGATCCACTCGTGTGTGGGCTGGCGGAAGTCGTGGTACGCGCCCTTGAGGGGGTAGATGGAGGTCGTGTCCTCCCACACAAACTGGGAGAAGTCGTAGGGCGGGTCGGCACCCACGAGGTTCACGCCGAGTGTCTGAGCCGGGTCGAAGTTCCAAGAGTGTATGCGCTTGCCGTCGTCGAGGGCGGCGTCCCACTTGGGAAAGTGGTGCTTCGTCAGGTTGTACGTCGAGACGGAGACACGGTACGACGGCGGGTTGAAGTACTCGTTCTGCAGCGAGTAGTACTCCATGATGGCCTCGGGCCCCTTATAGTAGTTCTTCTTGCCCGTCGGCGTCACCTCGACGAGCGACGTGTCGGACCAGTAGCGCTGCGTCGCGAGGAAGTACTTGTATGTGGGGATGCCCGTCCAACGGAACTGATCGGGGAACCACGAGGTCCGCATCATCGTCATCCGCACGAGCTGCACGTACTCCTTGCTGTCGACGTCGAGCTGTGCGCAGAACCGGCAGCACATGCCGCTCCATAGCTGGCAGCCGACCCCCTTCTCATAGCGTCCGTCGATGCGCGCCATTGCGTTGGCACACACAGAGTACTCTGGATAGATCGACTCGCCAAAGAGGCGCTGCGCCTCGCGCTCGTTGTCGAGGCACTGTTCGCGATGGGTCACATACTTGGCCTCCTCGCTCTCGAGGATCGCGCCGACCACCTTCGCGGCGATCCCCATCGACATGTATTGTCCGGGGCAGTAATAACGGCTGATGTGACCGTCCTTGGCGCTAAAGCGGTCGACACCGAGCATCTTGCTCATGTTGTACCCGGGGAAGACGTTCGTCGCAGGGTCGATCTCGTAGAACAAGTCGAGCGGAGCGCCGAACACGAGCGACTTGTGCCAATCAGGGCGCTCTGGATCGAAGGTGTTGGGCCGCTGGAAGGCGCGTGGATCGCGGTTGGCCTGGTACAGCGCATACCTCTCGAGCAGACCTGTGCCGGCATACAAGATGCCGCTCCTCTCGGAGTCTCCGAAGGCGTCGGGCGCCTGTCGCTTCACGTACGAGACGTTCACCTTCTTCGTGTCGACGAGCGTCGTCGACATGCTGCTCGGCGTGCCGAGGCGGAAGATCTCGAGCAGCGCCTTCTCCGGATCCCGTTTAAAGTGGGCCTTGATCTCGTCGTCCTCGAGTACCTGCCTCGCCGCCGCCTCGATCTGCGTCGCGAGGAAGCCGAGCTGCTGCGTCACCATGTCCGAGAGCATCTCCGACGAGTACAGGTCGAGGAAGTTGCCCCACGTCTCCGCGTTTTGCTGGCGCACGAGGTCGGCGATGGGAGCCTGCTTGTAGTGGTACTTGAGGTCGCGCGTGATGCCGTTGCGCGGGTTCTTCCAGTCGACCGCGTCGCAGTGGGCGAAGCGGCGGGTGTACGCGTCGCGCGGGAGACCGCCGCGCCGGCTCTCCATCTCGCGATTGTACAGCGTGTTGTCCTTGCACTTGAGCGACTGCGCGATCCCGATGGCGGTGTGGTCCGCCATCGGCAGACCGGTGACCCAAGTCGTGCCGAGGCTGATCACCATCTCAAAGGTGTGCGAGATGTTGAGCTGCCCCTTTGCGCCGAGCCTCTCAAACTTGGCAGAGAGGTTTGGCGGCTCCCAGCCGTTGTTCTTGCCAAAGCCCGTGTTTGGCGGCATGAGACGCATCAAGAAGCGCTTAAACATGCGGTGGTCCTCCTTGGACTGCGTCGGCGGGTAGTCAAAGAGGGCAGAGTCCACACCGCCCGACGAGTGCAGGCCGTCGTGCAGCCGCGACTGGCCGTCGGAGCCCTCGAACTCGTCTCGATCGTACTCGGACATTGTGAGGCGGCGGCACGTCTCGTACTGGTAGCCCTCGCTGCGCTGCAACCCGGGAGGAACCGACTCGAACACGTAGCGCGGCGCGAGGCACGTCAAGCGGTCCCGGAGCAGGTCCATGTCCGCAAAGTGGTGGCGGGTGAGGTACATGGCGTCGTCCTTCTCCTGCATCTTGACGAGCCAGGTCAGCTGGTTGAACTCGTGGTTGCTTGTGTCAGGCACGCCATTGAGGTCGTCGATGGTCGTCTGGTAGAGAAAGTCTGTGCGCTTGACTGCATGCTCGAGGTGAGCGCCACCGAGGTCGTCGGAACGGCGGTACGATTGCGAGAGCATCGGGCATCGGCCCGTGCTCCGCTTGATCTGACTCGTGGCGGCGATGAGGCTGCCCATCGTCGAGCTGCCTGCCACCCAGCCGAACTTGCTCTCAAGGAAGGAGTTGGCGACTTTGAGCTCGAAGGTGCCGCCCAGGACGTCGCCGCCATCGAAACGCGTCTCGTACATGATGTCGACCATCGAGACGCTTGTGAGCCAGCGATGGCCGGGATGGCTGGCGGCGCGCCAGCGGTACGCTGAGCTCTTGGCGCCATGCGACCAGAGCACCTGAGGACGGTCCGTGTCGACCGCGGACCAGAGCAGCTGCAGCGTGCCGTCGGCGGAGCAATCCAGAGCGACGCTCGCGTTCACCGACGCAGATTCGACGAGCGCAAGCTCGTACGGGTAGAGCGTGCTCGTGTTCGTGTCGAGGAAGCCAACCGCCACGTTGGGCTGGCCGGTGATGGTCATCGAGAGGGTCACGCCGGCGCACGATGGCTTGGGGAGGTCGAGAACCTGTACACGAGCGCACGGAGAGTCAGGGCGTGCTTGGAGCCATCTCAAGTTCTGTTGCTCACCGGGATCGAGGCCGCGTCTGGCACGAACACCGACTCGAGGAGCTCGGAGACGCCGCCAGAGCCGTACGACGACAGAGCAAAGGCCGAGCAGCCGAGACTGAACGCCACGCTGAGGAAGACGCACAGCAGCTTTGACGTCGAGCAGAACTTGCCGAAGCGGAGGCCGGAGCGCGTCGAGGTCGGCTCGGTCTCCTCCACGGTGCCCTGGAGAGTGCGGACGAGGGTGAGTCACGAGCAGGGCGCGCTGCACGGGCAAGGCAGTACGCGCCGAGGGCGTGGTCGACGACGGCGGGGCGACGTCGACAGACGCCTTGCCGGAGCCGACGCCAGCGAGGTCTTCCTCGTCGACAGACGCGTTGCCGGAGCCGACGCCAGCGAGGTCTTCCTCGTCGACGTCCGTTCCGAGCAGCGCCGCGAACCCGTTGGGGTCGACGCGGCCGATCGGGGTGAGGCTCTTCGTGGTCTTCTTGGAGCGGTCGGTCAGGTTGGACTCGCCCTTGCGCTCGATCTTGCGGAGCGAGGAGGGGGTCTTCCACTCGTCGATGCCCTGCACGCGACGTGCGGCAGAGGTCACAGGATCAATATAAGTGCCCGCCTGTGGGACTACCATGTCACGCAATACCCGCGTGTGCAGAGAAAGGTGGTGGGAGGCGCACACCGCCGGGGCGGCCGCCTTGGCTCCGAGGAGCGAAGTGGCCTTGGCCTTGTCCGAGTCGACCGTGCCCGCGGCGGGCCCCTCTGCCGCGGCCAGGTCTTTCTTGAGGATGCTCTCGTCGGCCTCCGCGCCAGACTTTGCGGGGACGTCCTTCACGAGGGCGTTCTTGGCGCCGCACGCCTGTGGGCCAGGGACGATACGGCGGCGTTTGGACAGGGAAGATCGCGCTGATAGGATGAACATGCGTACAGACAGGCACCTCGGCTCCGAGGAGCGAAGGGGATTCCGACGCAAACGAGAGGACGATTGTGACTCGGCCGCCGTCGCCAGCCGGCACGAAGCCGACCTGCGCTTTGTAGTCGATGTTGTCCATGATCGATGTTGTCCTGCGCAAGTCGCATCATCATGAAAGTTGAGACGGGCGCTTGCATTGGATGTGCACAAACAGCTATATTCGCTTTGTGGAGGTGTACGGGGTCTGAAATGAGAGGGACGGGGGACGGGGGACAAAGTCGATCAGCCTGCGGGGCGGGGTGGGGTGCGGGAAGCGGGCTCAAGATGCTTGGACACGCGCGGCAGCTGGCTGGCAGAGGAGGGGCGGCAGACGCTCGGCGACGAAGGGCTGTAACTGACGGCAGAAAAGGCGGTGGGCGGACAGGCGGAGGCGGCGGTCCCTAAAGGGCGGCGGCGGCGGCGGAGAGGGCCGTAGGGCAGCCGAGGGCGGCGGCGACGACGAGGACGGCGGCAGCCCCGGTACAGCTAGAGCTCCGGCTAGACTGGTTCGCATTGACAGTCCCTGCCGCTGGCCTTCCAACATCATCGCGGGGACAACGATGGCGCTACCCATCTCCATCGTATTCCACCACATGC